CTACTGTAGTGCTCGAAGTAGCCCTCCTAGACGGCTGTACCGTGCCAAGCAGGGTCCTGTGAGTCCGATGTCGCTTCATCTGTAGAACCTACACCAGCACAACAGAGACACCTCGCTTATGGACCACCACAGGAAACATGCCATCCAAGAGCCGCGAGTCGTCGGTCTGCTGGGACGTGTGCGCGAGCCTCCTCCTCCTCCTCCCCCTCCCCCTCCTCCTCTTCTCCCTTCCGCTCCTCCTCCTCCCCCTCCTCCTCCTCCTCCTCCTCCTCCTCCTCCTCCTCCTCCTCCTCCCTCCTCCTCCTCCTGCATGAACAACCCCAGCGCGGTGAGGGGTTAGACCGCAGCAGGCCCCAGCGCGGCGAGGGGTTCGGCCACGAAGGACCCCTGCGCGGCGAGGGGGTAGGCCGCAGAGGACCCCAGCGTGGCGAGGGGTTAGGCCACAGCCCTGCGCCAGACGGGATGCAGAGGGGTGCCCGTCCCCCACCAACAGGACGGAGCACCATGGACATGGATGACTACGACCTCTTCCAGGACGGGGAGAACAGCGAGGATTGCTTCCAGCACCCCGCAGACAAGCAGGACGGCGATGACAACCACCAGCAGATCCCATATGACCAGGACAGCATCGGGTACCACCTGGCGCACCGCAGAGGACCCCAGCCTGGCGAGGGGTTAAGCCACGGAGGACCCCAGCGCGGCGAGGGGTTAGACCGCAGCAGGCCCCAGCACGGTGAGGGGTTAGGCCACTCGGGACCCCAGTGCGGCGTGGAGGCAGACCGCAGAGGACCCCCGCGTGGGGAGGGGTTAGGCCACAGAGGACCCCAGCGCGGTGAGGGGTAGGACCGCAGCAGGCCCCCGCGCGGCGAGGGGTCAAGCCACGGAGCACCCGAGCGTGGTGAGGGGGTAGACCGCAGGTGCCCCCAGCGTGGCGAGGGGTTAGGCCACGAAGGTCCCCAGAGCGGTGAGGGGTTAGACCGCAACGACCCCCAGCGCGGCGAGGGGTTAGGCCACGGCGGACCCCAGCGCGGTGAGGGGTTAGACCGCAGCAGACCCCCGCGTAGCGATGGGGTTAGGCCACAGAGGACCCCAGCGCGGTGAGGGGTCAGACCGCAGCAAGCCGCAGCGTCGCGAGGGGCTAGCCCACGGAGCACACCAGCGCGGTGAGGGGCTAGACCGCAGGAGCCCCCAGCGTGGCGAGGGGTTAGGCCACGAAGGTCCCCAGCGCGGTGAGGGGTTAGACCGCGCCGACCCCCAGCGCGGCGAGGGGTTAGGCCACGGCGGACCCCAGCGCGGTGAGGGGTTAGACCGCAGCAGACCCCCGCGCGGCGAGGGCTTAGGCCACGGAGGACCCCAGCGCGGTGAGGGGCTAGACCGCAGCAGGCCGCAGCGTGGCGAGGGGGTAGGCCACGAAGGACCCCAGCGCGGTGAGGGGCTAGACCGCACCGACCCCCAGCGCGGCGAGGGGTTAGGCCACGGCGGACCCCAGCGCGGTGAGGGGTTAGACCGCAGCAGACCCCCGCGTGGCGAGGGTTTAGGCCACGGAGGACCCCAGCGCGGTGAGGGGCTAGACCGCAGCAGGCCCCAGCGTGGCGAGGGGTTAGGCCACGAAGGACCCCTGCGCGGCGAGGGGTTAGGCCGCAGAGAACCCCAGCGTGGCGAGGGGTTAGGCCACAGCCCCGCGCCAGGCAAGGAGTCCGTGAAGGCCCACGTGTCCAGGGATCTGCGGCCAGAGCGGTCCCTGGACGAGCGCAGAGCTGAGGAGCGGCAGCAGCCGTCCATCAGGGCGCTCCTCGAGCTCTAAGAGGGCGGCTTCAGCAAAGTCATCAGACTGCCCTGCTCGAGGGAAGCGACTCAGGGAGTCAGCCGAGTGGCGGCAGCATGGACGCCGTGCGATGAGGCCGCTGGCCCACCCCGCCTCGTGCGCGTCGCGTGCGCGGGGTGCCGAGACCAGGGGCACCCACTCACGGGCGTGAGCCCGCGGGTTTAAAACTCTTCCTGCGTGAACCCATTCGTATGCCCCGTTCGCTCGCCCCTCCCATGCTGCAGCCGCTGGTCGCTGTGGAGCCCCATCGCGAGCAGCGTTGTGAAAAGGACCGAAGACCTGGAGTAAGAGGCGGGAAGTGATACATGACCACCGCCTGGGAAATCAATTTCCGGGGACTTCGGGAGGCGGTGGATCTGGGTATATTCGGCCCCCGGGGGCTAAGATATGTCCATCTCCACCGCCCTCTGGGGCACCAGGACGTCGGTTCCCAGGCCGTGGATCTGGATCGATGCCCGCTTCGCATGGAGCGCGAGTGCCCGCGTGGGCGGAAGCGCGCGGGGGGGGAGGGGGACACCTGGAAGGGAGTGGAGAGGAACATGGGGTCGATGTTGCAAAAATGCCGGCGCGGGGCAAACACCTGGGGAACCCATCCAGCGCACATCTGGCGGGGTGACCTGAATAGGGGGTGGCGAAAAGGGTCCTCGAGGGGCCTTTTGGGAACCCTCGGGGGGCCCTGCCGGCTCCGAAACAGGCCCTCGAGGACACCGTTTCAGAGCTCTTTCCTTCACCCCCTCCCTGTAGAGGAGGAGGGTGAGGAGGAGGAGGAGGAGGAGGAGAAGGAGGAGGAGGAGGAGGAGGAGGAGGGAGGAGGAGGAGGAGGAGGAGGGGAGGAGGAGGAGGAGGAGGAGGAGAGGCGGAGGAGGAGGAGGAGGAGGAGGAGGAGAGGAGGTCCCACTGCCACCCGCCCGAGCACAGGGGCGCCCACGAGGCCCACGGGCGGGCCAGCGCCAGTCGCGTGGCGGCCACGGGGATCGCCCTCGGGCGGGGCGCCGGGGGAAAGCCTGGGCGACCCCGGCCAGCGCACGGGGCGCCCACGCAGCGGCCCTCGGGCGGCCACGGGGCAGACCGCTTGGACGGCCCGACTGCGGACGGCATCAGTGCAGGCACTGCTCTTGCGGAGAACTGGTCAGGAGGGAGAGGAGGAAGAGGAGGAGGAGGAGGAGGAGGAGGAGGAGGAGGAGGAGGAGGAGCTGTGGGAGCTGTGGGAGCTGTGGGAGCTGTGCATGAGCGACAACGAACGTCGCATCCCCGAAGGGAGCACTTAGGCGAAAAAGTGCGACGGAACGGGACAAGGGCAAGACGCCTGGCCCACACGCGGCCGCCTTCCTTGAGGCGGTGTGTCGCTCCGGTGGTGCTGCGAGGGACCCGGAATCCTCGCCTCTGGAGACGACACAGGTCCTGATACCGCGGACCCCGCTGCGCCGACCCTGATCCTGCGGGCCGGCTACGCAGACCCAGGAGGGCAAACACGTGCCACACCTGACATGAAAAAAACGTGATGAGAGGGAGTCGAACCCTCCACCACGAAAAGCAATGGCCGCCTTCTTGTCTCCGCCGACTTGGGCCAGAACCCTGACAGTATGCCCTCCGCTTGAGGTAGCGCCGGTGCCAGGATACGACACCGTGCCCCTGCGGAGGGGGAGGAGGAGGAGGAGGAGGAGGAGGAGGAGGAGGAGGAGGAGGGGAAGGAGGAGGGGAGGAGGAGGAGGAGGGAGAGGAGGGAGGAGGGAGTGAGGAGCAGGGAGGAGGAGAGGAGGAGGAGGAGGAGGAGGGAGGAGGAGGAGCAGGAGGAGCAAGACTAGGAGGACCAGCGGGACGAGCAGGAGCAGGAGGAGGAGGAGGCGGAGGAGGAGTAGGGAGGGAAGGAGAAAGGAACACAAGGAACAGTTCGAGGGTGAGGAGAAGGAGAGCGGAGGAAGGACACGGAGGGGCACGAGCAGAAGCTCGAGGAGGAGGCGGGCGACGAGGGGGAAGCCGAAGTAGCAGGCGCAGGCGCACGAGTCGGGCGGGGCCGTAGCCTTAGCACAAGGAGAAGTCCGCTCCAGAGCGCTCTGGAACGCTCTCAGCGCGCTCCAGAGAGCTCCGAGAAGGCCACGGCGCGGGAGCCGCCGGATGTCGGAGATGCTCGATCCAGCCTCGTCCGATGTTGTCCCCGTCCTCGTCCTAACTTGTCCTCGATATATCCTCCTCCGAATTCGTTATCGTCCTCGTTATACTCTAGAACTATCCCCGTTCTCGATCTATCCTTGTCCGAATTCGTCATCGTCCTCGTCCTATTCTCGATGTATTCTCCCTCGTCCTCGATCTATCCTCGTCCGAATCTGTCATCGTCCTCGTTCTAGTCTCGATATATCCTCGTCCTCGATCCATTCTCGATCTGTCCTTCGTCCGAATGTGGCCTCGCCCTCCTCCTCTTCTTCCTCCTCCTGCCCCCTCGTCCCTTTGATTTTCCTCTTCCTCCTCCGCCTCCTCCTCCGCCTGACCCTCCTCCTCCGCCTCCCTCGTCCCCTTGATCTTATTGCTCCTCTTCCTCATCCTCCTCCTCCCCCTCCTCCTCCTCCTCCTCCTGGCCTCGCCTTGGCCTCGCCTTGGCTCGGGGGGGGGGGGCCTGCAGGCGGGCCGCGCAGCACGAGAGACGGTCGGCGGGCTGGGCCTTTCCGGCGGGCCCCTCGGGGGGCCCCTCGGCGGGCCTCTCGGCGGGCCCCTCGGCGGGCCCCTCCGGCGGCCCCTCGGCGGGTCGAGGACAAGGGACGGAGGGCGGAGGGTGGAGGGTCGAGGACCGAGGCTCGAGACCCGAGGGTCGAGAGAGTCGAGAGAATCGAGGATCGAGGTTACAGGGCCAAGGGCCGAGAGTCGAGGGTCGAGGACCGAGGTTCGAGGGTCGAGGATCGAGGATCGAGGGTTGAGTTGTGGAGGACGATCAGTGGAGAGGAAGCATGTTGCCAAATAATTTCCAGATGTCTAGAAAATGTGCTCAACATGCTTTAAACATGTAAGTTACATGCTTCGAGCATGTTCAGTACATCTTCCGACATCTCAAACACATTCGAAATTCGATGATAGGACTGTTAGGGTGTCCATCGTCGTGGCATCCACAAACGTTGAGGGTCGCGGGCCGAGGGCCGAGCAGCACGAGCGGGCCGCGAGAGGGACCGTGCGAGGGCCCCGCCAGGAGCCCGCGCGGCGGGCGCGCTCCCCTGGCGAGGGCGGCCGCCCCTCGGGCGAG